CCTTTATGATATGGTAACTTGTGGTATAATTTCAGAAAGATCCATACACCATTTCACAAGTTATTGTCTGGAAACTAGAAAAATGCTTATTTGGGCCTCATTTTGGCCCCTAATTCCTAAACTGTTAGGATCATAACCCCCAAAATCAATCCCAACCTTCCTTTTGTGGTCATAAACCTTATGGTTAAATTTCATAGAAATCCATACACTTAAACAAAAGTTATTGTCCAGTAACCAATGTGTCTTCGGACAACGATGACGAAGACGACGTGATACCAATATACGACCACAAAATTTTTGCGGTCGTATAAAAACCCATACCATCGAGTTGACTATAAAAGATCCTGACATGAAACAACTTGAATTGAGAAAACTAACGAACCCATTTTAGTACAAAACAATTTTCGAAAAACCAATATGACAGATATGACCCAACAACAAAACTGTATACAGATCGATCCTGACTTGCGACAGGCACATACAGAATGTAGCGGGGTTAAACATTTTTGTGAGTGCTCAATCCCCCCTAAACTTGGACAGTGGTGTAATAGTACAACATAAGAACAAACTATAATAAAATGCTCCGCAGGGCGCAGCTTGATACGACCGCAGAGGTCGAACCCTGAACAGTTGGGGCAAGTATGGACACAACATTCAAGCTTGATACAGCTTTGCATTTGGATTGTGATTAAATATTTGACACAGCATAGGTTTCTGACACAGAATGAATGTGGTCTAAGAACTTAAAAATTTTAAATTGGACATTCACCTATTATGGTCTAATATCCAAAATCTAAATACATGGTTAGATTCAGCATATCAATGAACCCCAAGAATTCAATTTTTGATGAAATCAAACAAAGTTTAATTTTGGACCCTTTTGACCTTAATGTGGACAAAGTTGATAACGGGGCCCAAAAATCAAAAATCTAAATACATGGTTAGATTCAGCATATCAAAGAACCCCATATATTCAATTTTTGTTGAAATCAAACAAAGTTTAATTTTGGACCCCGATTTGGACCAACTTGAAAACTGGGCCCATAATCAAAAATCTAAATACATGTTTAGATTCAGCATATCAAAGAACCCTAAGAATTCAATTTTTGTTAAAATCAAACTAAGTTTAATTTTGGACCCTTTGGACCTTAATGTAGACCAATTTGAAAACGGAACCAAAAATTAAGAATCTAAATACACGGTTAGATTCGGCATATCAAAGAACCCCAATAATTCAATTTTTGATGAAATCAAACAAAGTTTAATTTTGGACCCTTTGGACCTCAATGTGGATCAATTTAAAAACGGGGCCCAAAATCCAAAAACTAAATACACGGTTAGATTCAGCATATTAAAGAACCCAAAGAATTCAAGAATAAAACACCATTGAAATTGGTCAAGAAATAAGCAATTTATACGAAGTATCTTCTTTTGCACAATACTGTGCAATTAAATATTTCTTGCTATTGCGCAATACTGTACAATTGACAATTTCTTGCTATTGCGCAATATTGTGCTATTGGATATTTCTTGCTATTGCGCAATACTGTGCAATTGAAGATTTCTTGCTATTGCGCAATACTGTGCAATTGAAGATTTCTTGCTATTGTGCAACACTGTGCAATTGAAAATTTCTTGCTATTGCACAATACTTATTATATAATAATTTACACATCCTATTTGGTGTGTATCACCTACCATATCATTATTATTTGCTTTTAAAAATAAATCAGAAATAACCAACTTAAAATGGAAAATTTTAAAAGAAAAAAAATCACCCCCCCCCCCCCAAATTTTTTTGAACCCCCTTATGATTCATCACCCCCAAACTCAATCCCAGCCTTCCCTTTGTGGTATGGTACCTTGCAGTACAATTTCAGAGAGATCCATACACTTGAACACAAGTTATTGTCTGGAAACTAGAAAAATGCTTATTTTTGGCCCTTTTTTGGCCCCTAATTCCTTTACTGTTGGTACCATAACCCCCAAAATCAATCCCAACCTTCCTTTTGTGGTATTGAACCTTGTGGTAAAATTTCATAGAGATCCATTCACTTAAACTAAAGTTAGAGTGCGAAAACCAATGTGTCTTGGGACGACACAGGACGACGCCGGACCACGACGACAACGACGACGACGCCAAAGTCATACCAATATACGACCACAAAAATTTTTTTGCGGTCGTATAAAAACCAGTTGAAAAAGGCTTAACTCTTCAGATCGATTAAAAAAACTACATTCAAAAACACAGTCCAGACGTGGCAGGGTATTTATCAATCCCCCATCCCTAACAACAACAAAAAACATTAATTTTACCCAATAAAAAAAAACAACAAAAAAACAAACAGAAAATCTAGTGATAAATATTTAACCTTCGTCAGCAGTACACGATGGTCTTTGTGGTCAATAAAACATGGTAATTAAGGCCTTGAGTCGAATAAGATGTGAATACAGTAAAAGAGACTACCATTATAGTTTGCTATCAATCCCAAATGCTTGATGGGTAAAAATACAGTATTCAGGCGTTACCTATTTTGCATTAAACAATTTTTCAAAAGAAAATTCGATAATGAAGCGCGGAAGTATTTCAAAGAAACTGTTTTCTCTGTTTTCGTAGCTTTCTTTCTTGCAAGAACATTGACGCCTGTATTAACATTCAGAATTCTGAGTTCTTATGTATAAAAGCTATCTGTATACTTCTTTCAACTTGATTTCAATAATTGCGAACACTTATTTATAAAGTATTTTGGAAAATGCGCTGTATTGTAATACTCTAATATATTAGTATAGTTATAACTATATGTTCCGAGGGTATAGCCGGAGGAAAATATGTTTTTAAGGGCAAACAAAATCTTCATAACTGGAGAAATAAAATGCTTCGCTGAGCGCAGCCTGATACGACCGCAGAGGTTGAACCCTGAACAGTTGGGGCAAATTTGGACACAATATTCAAGCTTCACACTGTCTGAATTTGGATTGTGATCAAATTTTTGACATAATAAAGGTTTCTGACACAAATTAAATGTGGTCATAGATATGAAAAATCTATTGCGCAATACTGTGCAATTGAAGATTTCTTCTTGAAACTTTTCAAAAAATTTGAAATTTGAAATATTTTGAAAAAAACAAAAAAACAATCTTTTTGAACCCCCCACCCCCCACTTTGAAGCAATTACCCCCAACTCTATCCCAGCCTTCAATTTGTAGTATGGAACCTTGTAGTACAATTTTAGAGAGATCCATACACTTAAACACAAGTTATTGTTTGGAAACAAGAAAAATGCTTGTTTTTGGCCCCTTATTCTCGCATGTTTGGGGCAATTACCCCCAAACTTAATCCCAGCCTTCCCTTTGTGATATGGAACCTTGTGGTACAATGTCAGTGAGATCCATACACTTACACACAAGTTATTGTCTGGAAACTACAAAAATGCTTATTTTTGGCCCCTTTTTGGCCCCTAATTCCTAAACTGTTGGTACCATAACCCCCAAAATCAATCCCAAACTTCCTTTTGTGGTATTGAACCGTCTTTTAAATTTCATAGAGATCCATTCACTAAAACTAAAGTCATTATCGGGAAACCAAACGTGTCTTCGGACGACGCAGACGACGACATCATACCATTATACGAACCCAAAAAAATCTTTGCGGTCGTATAAAAACGAATTGAAATGGAAATATAACGCATAACAAGAATATGTTTCAATTACAGAAAGCATCCATTTCAATCATAAAATGTAAGAATTTTATTTATAAAATGATCGTTTGATTTAAAATTATTTTAAAATAGATTAATGAAAATAATTTATTCACATGAGGAAAAGATAGGTATTCGTGACGTATGTGTATGACTGACTGAATAACGTGTACAATTATTTCCCATTATTTCGGCCTCTTTACTGCAGTGTAAATATGCAATTGTTAAATGATCTTAAATGAAGTTTTCTATTTACACAATATAACAAAACTTAGGATGAGACGGATGAATTTTTAATCGGTTGTTTAACGTCCAGTGGCAACTTTTATATGACTTATTTGGGAGAGAATACTAGTATTCGATATGATATAAATATGAACAAGGACATATATGTACGTGCAGATTTTTTTCCGAATTTACTCCACATTTGTAAATTTATCCACACTATGAAATCAAGATGAAAGAAATTTCAAATGTTCAGGCAAAACAAATAATACCTTTTTAAGCCAAAATGATCCTTATGAAAGGATGTACACAAGAGCTAATAATTCGCCTTTTGTTATGTTGAACCGATTTGTAAGTCAAACGTAACGTATTGATTGATAAATTCTGTATTCCACTCAATGAACGCTCGGATGATAATGTTTTTTTTTTTAAATCATTTGAAAAATAAGTCCTGGTAAAATTTTACAACTGTAAAACCATCGAAACCCTTTTCAGTTTGACATATCTTGTAGACAGTCTATTGTTGACGATTTTTTGGTTATTTGTGTGGTTGAGTTGCTGTCTCTCTGACATATCTATCACATCTCCTTTTCGTATATGTACGCAACTTTAATATCGTCATTAAAATAATACTTTACTTTTCGTTTTATTTTCTTATTTTGACATGATTAATATACAAATAAGAAGATGTGTTATAATTGACAAATTTGAATATTTATAGTATATAACATCGGTGTTGTCATGATCACAAAACTGTTCAATATATGTGATATTGATCTTCAGTTAAATATCACAATTTTGTTGCACAATTAACTAAGTTTTTCAAAGATGTATAAAATAATTTTTAAAAGTGATATTTTTGTCCTTATTTTTAAAGTTACCTTTTATCTTTATACTCATCTCACATTTGATAAATACTTAATTTTATTTAATAAAATTATATAAAAATTCTTAAAAACTACATTTAGTCCATGCTTCTATTGACATTAAAAATAGCTATTGAGTTATTAAATAATTTTTAAAAACAAAAAGATTTTTAAGTAACTATAAAAAAATAACTTGTTTAGTATCGCCCCTTGACTGTTGTTTGCGTCTTGATGACTTTTATGTAGCATATCTTATAGTATGAACTATATCTAAATTATATAATCTAATTATAAAATTTAAGAATTTTTTTATTATTAAAAAAGAATGGTTATTCAATATAATAAGAAAATACTTTAATGACTTTTACTTTTTGTGGAGACTTGACATTTCTTTCCAAGTATTTCACAGTACTGTTGAAGAATTTCTAACCTATTTTATAGTTTTGTAAAATTTCATGCAAAATGTATTTGAATATACCAGATGTTTACACAGGTGTTAATTGAGCTTCCTCTATTATGCTTTACTTTCCTTATCATAGAAGTGCTAAAGATTTGATTGACATCTTAATGGATCATGATAATTATTATCACATAAACTGCTGAGAAGAGCCTACTTGAAAAGCCCCAAACATCCTCCAAGCATGCTCCGTGCTTCCTCGTAAGAATAAATCTATGATCCCTAATGTATGGTTGGTAGTGTATGATGGTGGATTGTCTGGTGGTAGTGTATGATTGGTGGAAGGTATGTTTGTAGTGCATGATAGGTGGAAGGTATGTTGGTAGTGCATGATTGTTGGAAGGTATGTTGGTAGTGTATGATTGGTGGAAAGTAATATATTAGTGAATGATTGGTGGAAGATGAAATAATTGTATATGATTGGTGGAAGGTATGTTGGTAGTGCATGATTGGTGGAAGGTATGTTGGAACTGTATGACTGGTGGAAGGTAGGTTGATAGTGTATGATTGGTGGAAGGTATGTTGGTAGTGTATGATTGGTGGAAGGTGTTTTGACAGTGTATGATTGGTGGAAGGTCTGTTGGTAGTGTATGATTGGTTGGATGACTGGTGGTATTGTAAAATTGGTGAAGATCTGGTGGTAGTATATGATTGGTGGAAGGCATGTTGGTAGTGTATGCTTGGTAGAAGGTATGTTGGTAGTGTATCATTGGTGGAAGGTATGTTGGAAGAGTATGATTGGTGGAAGGTATGTTGGTAGTGTATGATTGGTGGAAGGTATGTTGATAGTGTATGATTGGTGGAAGGTATGTTGGTAGTGTATGATTGGTTGGATGACTGGTGGTATTGTAAAATTGGTGAAGGTCTGGTGGTAGTATATGATTGGTGGAAGGCATGTTGGTAGTGTATGCTTGGTGGAAAGTATGTTGGTAGTGCATGACTTGAGGAAGGAATGTCTGTTGTGTATGATTGGTTGAAGGTCTGGTTGTAGTTAAGGGTTGGTGGAAGGTGTTTTAGAAGTGTATGATTGGTGGAAGGTATGTTGGTGATGTATGATTGGTGGAAGGTATGTTGGTGGTGTATGATTGGTGGAAGGTATGTTGGTAGTGTATAAATGGTTGAAGGTGTGTAAGTAGTATATGATTGGTGGAAGGCATGTTTGTAAATTTGGTGGAAGGTATGGTAGTAGTTCATGATTGGTGGAAGGTATGTTGGTAATGTTTGATTGGTTGAAGATTTGTTAGCCTTGTTTGATTGATTGATAGGTTTTTTGGTAGTGTATGATCTGTTGAAGGTATGTTGGTAGTGTAATATTGGTGGAAGGTCTGTTGATAGTGTTTAATAGGTGGAAGGTAAGCTGGTAGTGTATGATTGGTGGAAAATATGTTGGCAGATTATGAATGATTGAAGTTATGTTGGCAGTGTATGATTGGTGGAAGGTATGTTGGTAGTGTATGAATATTGGTGGAAAGTCTGTTGGCAGATTATGATTGGAAGAAGGTATGTTGGCAGTGTATGATTGGTGGAAGGTATGTTAGTAGTGTATGATTGGTAAATGGTAGGTTGGTAGTGTATGATTTGGTTAATGGTATGTTGGCAGTGTATGATTGGTAAAAAGTAGGTTGGTAGTGTATGCGAGGTGGAAGGTATGTAGGCAGTACATGATTGGTGGAAAGTCTGTTGAAAGATTATGAGTGGTAGAAGGTAAGTTGGTAGTGTATGATTGGTTGAAGGTATGTTGGTAGTGTATGATTGGTTGAAGGTATGTTGGTAGTGTATGATTGGTGGAAGGTATGTTGGTAGTGTATGATTGGTGGAAGGTATTTGTTGCGGTCATATAAAAAGGGCACCTATAGTATGCTGCAGAAAACAAAAAAGTATCAGGTATTATACAAGTTCAATAATCACTATATGGAACATAAGTTATATTTTAACCTTATTTTAACCATATTTAGAAATTATTGTACATGTTCTTGATGTTGGTTGGAAGTTATTTAGTCTCATTTAAATAGTAACAAAAAAAGAGGGTTTTTTTTAAGTGCACACCAAAGTGCTCCCAAGTAAGGAGTTTTAGAAATATAACAGGTGGAACAGGAGATGATATATTGATGCAATTATACATTGCATACATTGCAGAAGGTATTTACAGTTACTTTTTTTCCTCCATAATTGTTAATAAAATGCTCCGCAGGGCGCAGCTTGATACGACCGCAGAGGTCGAACCCTGAACAGTTGGGGCAAGTATGGACACAACATTCAAGCTTGATACAGCTCTGAATTTGGATTGTGATTAAATATTTGACACAGCATAGGTTTCTGACACAGAATGAATGTGGTCTAAGAACTTAAAAATTTTAAATTGGACATTCACCTATTATGGTCCAATATCCAAAATCTAAATACATGGTTAGATTCAGCATATCAAAGAACCCCAAGAATTCAATTTTTGATGAAATCAAACAAAGTTTAATTTTGGACCCTTTTGACATGTGGACAAAGTTGATAACGGGGCCCAAAAATAAAAAATCTAAATACATGGTTAGATTCAGCATATCAAAGAACCCCATATATTCAATTTTTGTTGAAATCAAACAAAGTTTAATTTTGGACCCCGATTTGGACCAACTTGAAAACTGGGCCCATAATCAAAAATCTAAATACATTTTTAGATTCAGCATATCAAAGAACCCTAAAAATTCAATTTTTGTTAAAATCAAACGAAGTTTAATTTTGGACCCTTTGGACCTTAATGTAGACCAATTTCAAAACGGAACCAAAAATTAAGAATCTAAATACACGGTTAGATTTGGCATATCAAAGAACCCCAATAATTCAATTTTTGATGAAATCAAACAAAGTTAAATTTTGGACCCTTAGGACCTCAATGTGGACCAATTTAAAAACGGGGCCCAAAATCCAAAAACTTAATACACGGTTAGATTCAGCATATTATAGAACCCCAAGAATTCAAGAATAAAACCCCATTGAAATTGATCAAGAAATAAGCAATTTATACGAAGTATCTTCTTTTGCACAATACTGTGCAATTGAATATTTCTTGCTATTGCGCAATACTGTACAATTGACAATTTCTTGCTATTGCGCAATATTGTGCTATTGGATATTTCTTGCTATTGCGCAATACTGTGCAATTGAAGATTTCTTGCTGTTGCGCAATACTGTGCAATTGAAGATTTCTTGCTATTGTGCAATACTGTGCAATTGAAAATTTCTTGCTATTGCACAATACTTATTATATAATAATTTACACATCCTGTTTGCCAATATCATTATTATTTGCTTTTAAATATTAATCAGAAATAACCAACTTAAAATGGAAAATTTTAAAAGAAAAAAAAAAGGAAAAAAAGAAAAAAAAAGAATCCCCCCCCCCCCCAAATTTTTTGAACCCCCTTATTATTCATCACCCCCAAACTCAATCCCAGCCTTCCCTTTGTGGTATGGTACCTTGCAGTACAATTTCAGAGAGATCCATACACTTGAACACAAGTTATTGTCTGGAAACTAGAAAAATGTGTTTTTTGGCCCCTTTTTGGCCCCCAATTCCTAAACGTTTCGGGCAATTACCCCCAAACTCAATTCCAGCTTTCCCTTTGTGATATGGAACCTTGTAGTACAATTTCAGAAATATCCAAACACTTACACACAAGTTATTGTCATGAAACTAGAAAAATGCTTGTTTTTTGCCCCTTTTTTGGCCCCTAATTCCTAAAATTTTGAGGCAATTACCCCCAAAATCAATTACAGCCTTCCCTTTGTGATATGGAACCTTGTGGTACAATGTCAGAGAGATCCATACACTTACACACAAGTTATTGTCTGGAAGTTACAAAAATGCTTATTTTTGGCCCCTTTTTGGCCCCTAATTCCTTAACTGTTGGTACCATAACCCCCAAAATCAATCCCAGCCTTCCTTTCGTGGTATTGAACCTTATGGTAAAATTTCATGGAGATCCATTCACTTTAACTAAAGTTAGAGTGCGAAAACCAATGTGTCTTCGGACGAAGCTGGACGACGCCAGATGACGACGACGACGACGACGACGCCAACGTCATACCAATATACGACCAAAAAATTTTTAATTTTTGCGGTCGTATAAAAATAAAGGCATTTGTTTTGAGCTCCTATATAAGGAGGATTATAAATACAAGAAGTAAAACAGGAAGTGTCTATGTTCAAAGTACGAATTTCTTTAAATTTCAAACTGACCATACTCAGGGTTATGAAACAAAACACTTCGTTTACCAATTTAGTCAAAACTATGTATACCTTTATAATTGTTTCACAATTCATTTTAATTTTATGCCTACTTAAATAAAGTTTTTCTGGTGTACATGCTGTACATAAACAAATGGATAACATGTGGACATTTTCATTCTGTATCTGTATTAAATATCTAGTGTTTGTTTAATTATATCTTAAATCCCCTAATTAGCAGTAAACAATCATTAACAGAGGTTATAAAACTGCCAAAGGCAAGGTATTTAACTTGATCCCATTGTCAGTTAATTAGAGTGTTAAACAATCAGGTAACAATTTTAACGGAAATGCAGATGGGCGTGAAATTTTGAAATTTTATTTTTATAAAGGCTTCTATTTAGGGCATTATCGAGACAATGGCGTCATCCAAAGAAGTGAAAAAAGGGCTTGGCGTCATTTATTAAGACAAAAAAAGGGCATGGCGTCATTTAAAAATGGCATGGCGTCTATAAAGAACAAGAAATGATTGTAACAGGATGCTGTAACGAAGTCTCCCAAACGAAGCTCCCATAATTCGTAATTCCAAGGGTCGCCTGACATTGGGCAAAGTCCAGTGAAAATGAGTTTGGTCCAGTAAAGTTATATGCATTAGTGATGCCTGGGGACTAACCCTGTATATCATTCAAATCATCTTGGCATGACAAACCAGAATATATATGGTTTAGGGGTGAGGATCTTGACCATTTACAAGATACTAGAACATTGGGGGTGGGGGGAACCCCTGGGGACTGAACCTATACGTCAATCAAATGTTCGAGACATGACGAACAGGAATATATACGGTTTAGGGGTGAGGATCGCGACCATTTACAAGATATTAGAACATTGGGGGTGGGGGTGGGGGGGAACCCCTGGGGACTGACCCTATACATCATTCAAATGTTCGAGACATGACGAACAGGAATATATATGGTTTAGGGGTGGGGATCTCGACCATTTACAAGATATTAGAACATTGGGGAGGGGGAACCCCTGGGGACGGACCCTATATGTCATTCAAATGTTCGAGACATGACGAACAGGAATATATATGGTTTAGAGGTGGGGATCTCGACCATTTACAAGATATTAGAACATTGGGGGTGGGGGGTGGGGGTGACCCCTGGGGACTAACCCAGTATTTCATTTGATGTGCTTTATCATGACAAACCAGAATATGTATGGTTTAGGGGTGGGGATCTCGACTATTTACAAGATATTAGAACTTTATTAAAAAATCAGGGGGTCGGGGTGACCCCTGGGGACTAACCCTGTAATTCATTTAATGTGCTTTATCATTTAGAACATTTTCAATTAGAAAGATTGTGTCTATCACAAACAGTTTTCAATTTATAATTATTTGAAAATCTAAAAAAATAAAATCCCATAGGGTTCTATAGTAAAACTCTCCTTTCTTTTTGCCCCTCAAAGTACCCCTTTATAAACCCCATTGCACAAACAAAACCCTGATTGCACCACTAGACATGTTAGTCTAACATATTGTGAAACCCTAAGTTAATCTGACAAGCGGTTTTGGAGAACGGGTGCGGACAAGTTCAAATTTAAAAGACGCGGAAGAGGAAGAAAAGGAGGAGGAAGAAGAAGAAGAAGAACTAGATTTGTAATTGCTAGCAATAACAGATGGTACCCTTCCCCCATTGCCAGGCGATCGGCAGCCATTTCGAAAATTCCAAAGTCAAAGAGCACATCTACACATGCAAATTATCATTTTTGTAAAGTTTCATTAAGTTTTGAGGATTTTGAAATTTTTGAAATATTTGCTGTTTCCATGGTAACGGTGGCCATTTTGGAAATTCCAAAGTGGAATATCTTATCTACATATGCCAGTTATCATTACTGTAAATTTCAAAAAGTTTGAAGCATTTCAAATTTTTTGAATTTTTTTATGTTTCCATGGTAACGATAGATATTTCTAAAATTCCAAAAGCAGATGCCACATTGGCACATGCCATGTTACATATCAATACAGTTTCATTGATCTCTTCGTAATATTCTTTAAGAAAATGTAGCTTTTATGTATTTTTCCATAGGCTCAATGTTAAACTTTCGCCCTGTTTCCATGACATGGGGTCCTCAATATAGTAGAGTTCCATCAACATTGGTCCATTAGATTTCGAGAAATAAATCGTGCGGGCAAAATGTGTGGAAGAAAAATAACTAGATTTGTAATTGCTAGCAATAACGGATGGCACCCTTCCTCCATTGCCAGGGTAACGGCAGCCATTTTGAAAATTCCAAAGTCAAAGAGTGCATTTACACATGCTGATTAACATTTTTGTAAAGTCTCAATAAGTTTGAAGCATTTTGAAATTTTTGAAATTTTTGCAGTTTCCATGGTAACGGCAGCCATTTTGAAATTCCAAAGTCAAACTGCAAATCAGCACATGCCAGTTACCATTTCTGTGAAGTTTCTTTCCATTTGGTACACTTTGATTTTTTTCGCATTTTTGCTGTTTCCATGGAAACGGCGGCCATCTTGGACCATTCCATACCAAGGTGCACAACTTGGGGGTCCTCATTATAGTTAAGTTCCATCAACATTGGTCCATTAAATTCCGAGAAACACGACGGACAAAATGTGTGGAAGAAGAATAATAAAAATAAGTAAAAAAAAAAATCCCTACACCATGTTAAATACTTGGTTCACATCATATCAAGTGAATTTTTGTTCTATATATGAATTTAGAATGTAGACATTTTTTGTTAATATAGTGAATAAAAAAAAATAATCAGTTTTAAGAAAACTGTTTTTATTCACTAAATATATTAATACAAAGGTTAGTCCCTCCATGTAAATGTAAAGCACCAGACTGATTCTTCATATTTAGTTTAACCGTTGATTATACAGGTATGTCATCATAAAGTTGTACTTCATTTTACATTATGGTACTGCATCTGTTAACCCTCAACTATTGTATTTGTATTTATATAGTAATTCTACTTTCTCTGTTGACTTGTATTTAGTTTTTAGAGAATAAAGTATCTATCTATCTAATAAGAATAATACTGAATGTTACCTGTTTTGTTTTCACCCAAGGACTGCATCCCTGATCTATTAACCATTTTGTTACTTCGATCTGTCCATACTTAGCAGCATAATGTAAAGCTGTTTCTCCATCCTATAACAATATAAAAATATAAACATGTTAATGTTGTGTGATAATAAATCAAGAGAGGAGTCAAACAATTTACCAAAAAGTAAGAAATATAACATCAGGTAAGAAAATAAACAATTATACTTGTGTATAAACAGCTAAATGATAGATTAAGATATATAAACTAAATATATATTTTCTGATTCAGTGAAACAAAACAGGTAAAAAAAGTAAACTCTTAATTATATAAGTGTAACAAGTTAAATAATAGCAACCCTCACTTTATATAAGTCTAACAAGTATTTGTTGTCCATTTTACATGTATAATTAACAACATGATTTTGTGTTGATTCTGTAGAATGATCAAAGTTGAAAAAAAACTTTTTTTTTAAGAAACATTAAAACAAGTAATATTTTCTGATTCAGAGCAAAGAGACAAGAAAAATGAGACCCCACTTTATATAATTCCGTCAAGTATTTGTTGTCCATCGAACCTGTCTGATTAACGTTGATTAAGTAGAATAATCAAATAGAAAGAAAAAAACTTTTTTTCATTAAACATTAAAACGAGTTATATTTTCTGAATCAGTACGAAGAGACAAGAAAAATAAGACCCCACTTTATATAATTCTGTCAAGTATTTGTTGTCCATCGAACCTGTCTGATTAACGTTGATTAAGTAGAATAATCAAATAGAAAAAAAAACTTTTTTTCAAGAAACATTAAAACGAGTTATATTTTCTGATTCAGTACAACGAAGAGACAAGACGAAAACGAGACCCCACTTTATATAATTCTAACAAATATTTGTTATTTTTAAAAGATGTTTTACATTAGATCTGTAGAATTAACATTATCTGACTAAAGATGTTAACACAACTTTTTCTCATTAACTTCTTATTAAAATCAAATGTTTACAAAATAATTTTTCTTCAGGAAACAAAATAAAACCTTTACTATCTGATTCAGTTCTGTGTTACGAATAAAATGAGACCCCACTTTATATAATTCTAACAAATATTTGTTGTCCATTAAACCTGTCTGATTAACAACATGATTTTGTGTAGATTCTGTATAAAGTGGAGTTTGTTCAGAGTAAGTAGATTATATCTATCATTACCCTGTCTGTAGCGTCTAACTGACTGCCGTGAGTGACCAGGTACGTCACCACCTCCAGGTGTCCTCTCTCAGCAGCCAACATTAATGGTGTCCTTCTCCACTGTAATATCAACATATAACAGACATCAAAACTTGTGTCATAAACTGGACAATGTTGTGTAATAAATATAAACAAAATATATATCACATGAATCAGTGGTCAAAACTGAATAAAATGACCAGTCACACTTGTATTTATATTCTACATAAACAACAAATAAACAACATGTTTTATTGTGAGATGTCAGAACTTCCATCAAAACAGATTAAAAAAAAAAACTTTTTTCAAGAAACATAAACAATATTTATATCAATGGACTCAGCTGGACAAAACAATTAAAATGAGACCCCACTTTATATAATTCTAACAAATATTTGTTGTCCATTAAATCTGTTTTCTTTTCTATGATTAAGTAGAATGATCAAAGTTAAAAAAAAAAACTTTTTCAAGAAATATAAAAACGAGTTATATTTTCTGATTCAGTACGAAGAGACAAGAAAAATAAGACCCCACTTTATATTATTCTGTCAAGTATTTGTTATTTTTAAAAGATGTTTTACATTAGATCTGTAGAATTAACATTATCTGACTAAAGATGTTAACACAACTTTTTCTCATCAACTTCTCATTAAAATCAAATGTTTACAAAATAATTTTTCGTCAGGAAACAAAATAAAACCTTTACTATCTGATTCAGTTCTGTGTTACGAATAAAATGAGGCCCCACTTTATATAATTCTAACAAATATTTGTTGTCCATTAAACCTGTCTGATTAACAACATGATTTTGTGTAGATTCTGTATAAAGTGAAGTTTTGTCAGAGTAAGTAGATTATATCTATCATTACCTCGTCTGTGACTTCTAACTGACTGCCGTGAGTGACCAGGTACGTCACCACCTCCAGGTGTCCTCCCCAGGCAGCCAACATTAATGGTGTCATTCCCCACTGTAATATCAACATATAACAGACATCAAAACTTGTGTCATAAACTGGACAATGTTGTGTAATAAATATAAACAAAATATATATCACATGAATCAGTGGTCAAAACTGAATAAAATGACCAGTCACACTTGTATTTATATTCTACATAAACAATAAATAAACAACATGTTTTATTGTCAGATGTCAGAACTTCCATCAGAACTGTCAGGTTAAAAAAATAAATTTTTTCAAGAAACGTAAACAATATTTATATCAATGGACTCAGCTGGACAAGACAATTAAAATGAGACCCCACTTTATATAATTCTAACAAATATTTGTTGTCCATTAAATCTGTCTGATTAACAATGATTCTGAAGAATGATGGAAGTGAAAAAAAAAAAAAATGTTAAGAAACATTAAAACGAGTTATATTTTCTGATTCAGTACGAAGAGACAAGAAAAATAAGACCCCACTTTATATAATTCTGTCAAATATTTGTTATATTTAAAAGATGTTTTACATTAGATCTGTAGAATTAACATTATCTGACTAAAGATGTTAACACAACTTTTTCTCATCAACTTCTCATTAAAATCAGATGTTAACAAAATAATTTTTCATCAAGAAACAAAATAAAACCTTTACTATCTGATTCAGTTCTGTGTTACGAATAAAATGAGACCCCACTTTATATAATTCTAACAAATATTTGTTGTCCATTAAACCTGTCTGATTAACAACATGATTTTGTGTAGATTCTGTATAAAGTGAAGTTTTGTCAGAGTAAGTAGATTATATCTATCATTACCTCGTCTGTGACTTCTAACTGACTGCCGTGAGTGGCCAGGTACGTCACCACCTCCAGGTGTCCTCCCCAGGCAGCCAACATTAATGGTGTCCTTCCTCTCTGTAATATCAACATATAACAGACATCAAAACTTGTGTCATAAACTGGACAATGTTGTGTAATAAATATAAACAAAATATATATCACATGAATCAGTGGTCAAAACTGAATAAAATGACCAGTCACACTTGTATTTATATTCTACATAAACAACAAATAAACAACATGTTTTATTGTGAGATGTCAGAACTTCCATCAGAACTGTCAGGTTAAAAAAAAAACTTTTTTCTAGAAAATTAAATAATATTTATATCAATGGACTCAGCTGGACAAGACAATTAAAATGAGACCCCACTTTATATAATTCTAACAAATATTTGTTGTCCATTTAACATATCTGATTAACAATGATTCAGTAGAATGATCAAAGTGGAAAATTTTTTTTTTTCAAGAAACATAAAAACGAGTTATATTTTCTGATTCAGTAGTACGAGACAAGAAAAATAAGACCCCACTTTATATAATTCTGTCAAATATTTATTATTTTTAAAAGATGTTTTACATTAGATCTGTAGAATTAACATTATCTGACTAAAGATGTTAACACAACTTTTTCTCATCAACTTCTCATTAAAAACAGATGTTTACAAAATAATTTTTCGTCCGGAAACAAAATAAAACCTTTACTATCTGATTCAGTTCTGTGTTACGAATAAAATGAGACCCCACTTTATATAATTCTAACAAATATTTGTTGTCCATTAAACCTGTCTGATTAACAACATGATTTTGTGTAGATTCTGTATAAAGTGAAGTTTTGTCAGAGTAAGTAGATTATATCTATCATTACCCTGTCTGTGACGTCTAACTGACTGCCGTGAGTGGCCAGGTACGTCACCACCTCCAGGTGTCCTCCCCAGGCAGCCAACATTAATGGTGTCTTTCCCCACTGTAATATCAACATATAACAGACATCAAAACTTGTGTCATAAACTGGACAATGTTGTGTAATAAATATAAACAAAATATATATCACATGAATCAGTGGTCAAAACTGAATAAAATGACCAGTCACACTTGTATTTATATTCTACATAAACAACAAATAAACAACATGTTTTATTGTCAGATGTCAGAACTTCCATCAGAACTGTCAGGTTAAAAAAATAACTTTTTTCAAGAAACATAAACAATATTTATATCAATGGACTCAGCTGGACAAGACAATTAAAATGAGACCCCACTTTATATAATTCTAACAAAGATTTGTTGTCCATTAAACCTGTCTGATTAACAATGATTAAGTAGAATGATCAAAGTTAAAAAAAAACTTTTTTCAAGAAACATAAAAATGAGTTATATTTTCTGATTCAGTACGACGAGACAAGAAAAATAAGACCCCACTTTATATAATTCTGTCAAGTATTTGTTATTTTTAAAAGATGTTTTACATTAGATCTGTAGAATTAACATTATCTGACTAAAGATGTTAACACAACTTTTTCTCATCAACTTTTCAATAAAAATCAGATGTTAACAAAATAATTTTTCGACAAGAAACAAAATAAAACCTTTACTATCTGATTCAGTTCTGTGTTACGAATAAAATGAGACCCAACTTTATATAATTCTAACAAGTATTTGTTGTCCATTAAATCTGTCTGATTAACAAGGATGAATGATCAAAGTTAAAAAAAAATTATTTCAAGAAAAATAAAAAAGAGTTATATTTTCTAAGTCAGATTAATGAGACAGGAAAAATGAGACCCCACTTTATATAATTCTAACAAATTTTTTTTTGTCCATTAAACCTGTCTGATTAACAGTATTTTGTGTTGATTCAGAATAATATTATGGTAATATAGCAATGGCGTATGTTGTGTTGAGTATAAGTGAAGAACTTTAATAAGCCATGTCTGTATTTTTTTGTTTGCATTGTGCTATGTCACATGTTTGTGAGCAGTGTAAGAGTGTCATTGATATGTCACATGTTGATGCTGAGTATCAGAGTGGTATGGCTAGGTTACACGATAGTGTTGAGTATAAGAGTGTCATTGCTATGTCACATGTTGGTGTTGAGTATAAGAGTGGTATGGCTAGGTAACATGATGGTGTCGAGTAAAAGAGTGTCATTGCTATGTCACATGTTGATGCTGAGTATTAGAGTATCAATGCCATGTCTCATGTTGATGCTGAGTATCAGAGTATCATTGCTATGTCACATGTTGATGCTGAGTATCAGAGTGTCATTGCTATGTCGCATGTTGGTGTTGAGTATAAGAGTTGTATGGCTAGGTTACATGATGGTGATGAGTATAAGTGTGTCATTGCTATGTCACATGTTGGTGCTGAGTATAAGAGTATCATTGCTATGTCACATGTTGGTGCTGAGCATAAGAGTGTCATTGCTGTTGGTGTTGAGTATAAGTGTGTCATTGCTATGTCACATGTTGGTGCTGAGTATAAGAGTATCATTGGTATGTCACATGTTGGTGCTGAGCATAAGAGTGTCATTGCTATGTCACATGTTGGTGTTGAGTATAAGAGTGTCATTGCTATGTCACATGTTGGTGTTGAGTATACAAGTGTCGTTGCTATGCCACATGTTTGTGTTGAGTATAAGTATGTCATTGCTATGTCACATGTTGGTGATGAGTATAAGAGTGTCATTGCTATGTCAGGTGATGGTGTTGAGTATAAGAGTGTCATTGCTATGTCACATGTGTGTGCTGAGTATTAGAGTTTCATTTCTGTTGGTGTTGAGTATAAGTGTGTCATTGCTATGTCAAATGTTGGTGTTCAGTATGAGTATGTCATTGCTGTCACATGTTTCTGTTAAATATAAGAGTAATTGCTATGTCACATGTTGGTGCTGAGTATAAGTGTGTCATTGTTATGTCACATGTTGGTACTGAGTATAAGAGTGTCATTGCTATGTCACATGTTGGTGTTGAGTATAAGAGTGTCATTGCTATGTCACATGTTGGTGTTGAGTATAAGAGTGCCATATGCTATGTCACATGTTGGTGTTGAGTATAAGTGTGTCATTGATATGTCACATGCTGGTGTTGAGTATAAGAGTTTCATTGCTGTCACATGTTGGTGTTGAGTATAAGAGTGTCATTGCTATGTCACATGTTGGTGTTGAGTATAAGAGTGTCATTGCTATGTCACATGTTGGTGTTGAGTATAAGAGTGCCATTGCTATGTCAGATATTGCTGTTGAGTATAAGAGTGTCAGTGATATGTCACAATTTGGTGTTGAGTATAAGAGTGTTTTGGCAATGTCACATGTTGGTGTAAGTTTGTCATTGCTATGTCACATGTTACCAGGTTACCCATGTCGTGTTTAGTACAGGAGTGGTAAATGAATGCTGTATGATCAGATGTCATAATTCATGTTCAGTACAGGAGTGGTTAATGAATGTTGTATGATCAGGTGTCACATGTCATGTTCAGTACAGGAGTGGTAAATGAATGCTGTATGATCCAGAGTCACATGTCATGTTCAGTACAGGAGTGGTGACTGAATATTGCATGATCAGGTGTCACATATCATGTTCAGTACAGGGGTGGTTAATGAATGTTGTATGATGTGGTGTCACATGTCATGTTCAGTACAGGAGTGGTGAATGAATGTTGTATGATCAGGTGTCACTTGTCATGTTCAGTACAGGAGTGGTGAATGAATGTTGTATAATCAGGTGTCACTTGTCATGTTCAGTACAGTGAGGTAAATAAATGTTGAATGATCAGGTGTCACATGGCATGTTTAATACAGAAGTGGTAAATGATTGTTGTATGATTATGTGTCATGTCTTGTGTCATGATGATGCAAGATTTATGTAAAACCGAAGGAATTTTTTTGTAGAATACCATGAAAGTGTATGTTAAGTGTCATACAGTATAATAAAATATATCACAATATTTCAGTTGTATGCAGTTAGGAAGTATCAGACAGCAACCCTCTAACATACAAACTGGAGTAGTATTCATCAGTGTAATGAAGTAAATCACAATATTTCAGTTGTATACAGTAAGAAAGTGTCAGACAGCAACCCTTTAACATACAAACTGGAGTGGTATTCATCAGTATAATAACATGAATAAATTAAATCACAATATTTCAGTTATATACAGTTAGGAAGTATCAGACAGCAACCCTCTGACATACAAACTGGAGTGGTATTCATCAGTGTAATGAAGTAAATCACAATATTTCAATTGTATGCAGTTAGGAAGTACCAGACAGCAACTCTCTAACATAAAAACTGGAGTGGTATTCATCAGTGTAATGAAGTATTTAAGGTTGTTTTTGGGGGATCAAAACTGTGTAGTGTTTTAGGGGCTGTTGCTTGTCTTCTCCCTTGGCCATGGTGTTGCCTATTCTTCTACTACTTATGTGTTTTGATTGTCTATTCTTCTACTACTTATGTGCTTTGATTGTCTATTCTTCTATTACTTATGTGTTTTGATTGTCTATTCTTCTACTACCTGTGTGTTTTGATTGTCTATTCTTCTACTACTTGTGTGTTTTGATTGTCTATTCTTCTACTACTTATGTGTTTTGATTGTCTATTCTTCTACTACCTGTGTGTTTTGATTGTCTATTCTTCTACTACTGATGTGTTTTGTCTATTCTTCTACTACCTGTGTGTTTTGATTGTCTATTCTTCTACTACTTGTGTGTTTTGATTGTCTATTCTTCTACTACTGATGTGTTTTGTCTATTCTTCTACTACTTATGTGTTTTCATTGTCTATTCTTCTACTACTTATGTGCTTTGATTGTCTATTCTTCTATTACTTATGTGTTTTGATTGTCTATTCTTCTACTACCTGTGTGTTTTGATTGTCTATTCTTCTACTACTTGTGTGTTTTGATTGTCTATTCTTCTACTACTTGTGTGTTTTGATTGTCTATTCTTCTACTACTTGTGTGTTTTGATTGTCTATTCTTCTACTACTGATGTGTTTTGTCTATTCTTCTACTACCTGTGTGTTTTGATTGTCTATTCTTCTACTACTTGTGTGTTTTGATTGTCTATTCTTCTACTACTTGTGTGTTTTGATTGTCTATTCTTCTACTACTTATGTGTTTTCATTGTCTATTCTTCTACTAGTTATGTGTTTTGATTGTCTATTCTTCTATTACTTATGTGTTTTGATTGTCTATTCTTCTACTACCTGTGTGTTTTGATTGTCTATTCTTCTACTACTTGTGTGTTTTGATTGTCTATTCTTCTACTACTTGTGTGTTTTGATTGTCTATTCTTCTACTACTGATGTGTTTTGTCTATTCTTCTACTACTTGTGTGTTTTGATTGTCTATTCTTCTACTACTTATGTGCTTTGATTGTCTATTCTTCTATTACTTATGTGTTTTGATTGTCTATTCTTCTACTACCTGTGTGTTTTGATTGTCTATTCTTCTACTACTTGTATGTTTTGATTGTCTATTCTTCTACTACTTGTGTGTTTTGATTGTCTATTCTTCTACTACTGATGTGTTTTGTCTATTCTTCTACTATTTGTGTGTTTTGATTGTCTATTCTTCTATTACTTATGTGTTTTGATTGTCTATTCTTCTATTACTTATGTGTTTTGATTGTCTATTCTTCTACTACTGATGTGTTTTGTCTATTCTTCTACTACTTATGTTTTTTGTCTATTCTTCTACTACTTATGTGTTTTGATTGTCTATTCTTCTATTACTTATGTGTTTTGATTGTCTATTCTTCTACTACTTATGTGCTTTGATTGTCTATTCTTCTATTACTTATGTGTTTTGATTGTCTATTCTTCTACTACCTGTGTGTTTTGATTGTCTATTCTTCTACTACTTGTGTGTTTTGATTGTCTATTCTTCTACTACTTGTGTGTTTTGATTGTCTATTCTTCTACTACTTGTGTGTTTTGATTGTCTATTCTTCTACTACTTGTGTGTTTTGATTGTCTATTCTTCTACTACTGATGTGTTTTGTCTATTCTTCTACTACTTGTGTGTTTTGATTGTCTATTCTTCTACTACTGATGTGTTTTGTCTATTCTTCTACTAGTTATGTGTTTTGATTGTCTATTCTTCTACTTCTTATGTGTTTTGTCTATTCGTCTACTACTTATGTGTTTTGATTGTCTATTTTCATTGTCTATTCTTCTACTGCTTGTGTGTTTTGATTGTCTATTCTTCTACTATTGATGTGTTTTGATTGTCTATTCTTCTACTATTGATGTGTTTTGTCTATTCTTCTACTACTTGAGTGTTTTGATTGTCTATTCTTCTACTACTTGTGTGTTTTGATTGTCTATTCTTCTACTACTTGTGTGTTTTGATTGTCTATTCTTCTACTACTTATGTGTTTTGTCTATTCTTCTATTACTTGTGTGTTTTGATTGTCTATTCTTCTATTACTTGTGTGTTTTGATTGTCTATTCTTCTACTACTTGTGGGTTTTGATTGTCTATTCTTCTACTACCTGTGTGTTTTGATTGTCTATTCTTTTACTACTTATGTGTTTTGATTGTCTATTCTTCTACTACTTATGTGTTTTGATTGTCCTTTTGGTATTTTTTTTTTCACTTTTTTTTTTGGGGTATAGGTGTTGAATATATACAGGAGTTTGTGGTGCATACTGATGTTTCTCACTGTTTGTGTTGAATACAAGAGCTGTATATATTGATGTTGTGTAATGATGTTTTTCACTGTGTGTGTTGAATACAAGAGCTGTATATATTGATGTTGTGTAATGATGTTTCTCAATGTGTGTGTTGAATACAAGAGCTGTATATATTGATGTTGTGTAATGATGTTTCTCACTGTGTGTGTTGAATACAAGAACTGTATATATTGATGTTGTATAATGATGTTTCTCAATGTGTGTGTTGAATACAAGAGCTGTATATATTGATGTTGTGTAATGATGTTTCTCACTGTGTGTATTGAATACAAGAGCTGTATATATTGATGTTGTGTAATAATGTTTCTCACTGTGTGTGTTGAATACAAGAGCTGTATATATTGATGTTGTGTAATGATGTTTCTCACTGTGTGTGTTGAATACAAGAGCTGTATATATTGATGTTGTGTAATGATGTTTCTCACTGTGTGTGTTGAAAACAAGAGTTGTATATATTGATGTTGTGTAATGATGTTTCTCACTGTGTGTGTTGAATACAAGAGCTGTAAATATTGATGTTGTGTAATGATGTTTCTCACTGTGTGTGTTGAAAACAAGAGTTGTATATATTGATGTTGTGTAATGATGTTTCTCAATGTGTGTATTTTGTACAAGAGCTAGATATAAGAAGATGTGGTATGACTGCCAATGAGACAACTCTCCATCCAAGTCAAAATTTATAAAAGTAAACCATTATAGGTCACAGTACGGTCTTCAACACGGAGCCTTGGCTCACACCGAACAGTAAGCTATAAAGGGCCCCAAAAAATTACTAGTGTAAAACCATTCAAACGGGAAAACCAATGGTCTAATCTGTATAAAAAACGAGAAACGAGAAACACTTATGAACCACATCAACAAACGACAACTACTGAACATCAGATTCCTGACTTAGGACAGGTGCAAACAAATGCAGCGGGTTTAAATGTTTTAATGGTACCAAACCTTCACCCTTTTTCTGAAACAATAGTGTAACATCACAACATAGAAAGACACACTATAAAATATCAACTAAAATAGCTTAACTCAATCAAAGGACATATTAACACCATTGAACATACACTGAACAAATAAATTTGACCTATGACACAATGTAAATACAAAATAAATAAACTAAGGGAAGAATAATAAAAGTAACATGTTATATCGGTAAGAAATGTTAAACAATTAAAGAAAAACAATATGCTCGAACAAAAATACCATCCATTTGCAATAACTTTAAACACAGGTAAATGAAAATAATTTTGTTGTTAGGTATACTGTATGTATTGATATTGTGTAATGATGTTTCTCACTGTGTGTGTTGAATACAAGAGCTGTATATATTGATGTTGTGTAATGATGTTTCTCACTGTGTGTGTTGAATACAAGAGCTGTATATATTGATGTTGTGTAATGATGTATCTCAATGTGTGTGTTGAATACAAGAGCTGTATATATTGATGTTGCAATTGTGTAATGATGTTTCACACTGTTTTTGTAGAATACAAGAGCTGTATATATTGATGTTGCAATTGTGTAATGATGTTTCACATTGTTTTTGTGGAATACAAGAGTTGTATATATTGATGTTGTGTAATGATGTTTCACACTGTTTTTTGTGGAATAAAAGAGTTCTACTGGTATATACATTGGGGTTGTGTAATGATTTTTCTTAATATTTAATAATGATTAATATAAGACAAGAGTATTTGCAATAACAAGAAATTTACATTGAATTACTGAACACTAATTACAAGGGTAATGTTTAACAGATCTATATGGTGTGTATTATATAATAAATAACTTTAGGCCAACTAAAATTAATTAGTAGATTTTCATCCAGATTTTTGAAAAAAATGGGACGGGTGGGAGGATTTTATTTTTTAATTATTAATTCCTCCGAAACCCTTTTGTAATGCATTCTTCTTATGCAAGGGGTAAATCTAAGGAATTGCTATAATACATTGTGTTCATTGCCATTGGCAGACGTTTTGTACCTATTCGATCATAAATCGCACAAGTTCGTGCTTGCGTCAATTTTTTATTCCAGTCATGTTTTTTGTACCAATGTGTTCAACAATATCATTCACAGCCAAATTTCCTGACACAAAGTCATTGTATACATAGAGAATTCCACGGTTTTCTAATCACTGAAATTTGTGACATGCCGCGATTTACGATCTTTAACATTGCCTATTACTCGTAACACAAATTTTTCATGCCCTTCCCATAATCAATCTCTATTTCCGGAAGATAATGTCTTCATCATAGAGTAGCAGGATATGTCGACTTAATTATTTTGGTTGAATTACAGGGAGAAATACGAAAACTGAAATTTGCAACAGGAAGTTTTGAATGAAACGAATTTAACAGCGGGTACCGGTAATGGAATTGAGCAAAATCCGAAAATTGTAAATTTTTAAAAATAAAAAAAATCGGGACGGGCGGGGATGAAAATTTATCAATTAGTTTTAATTGGCCTTATGTGTGCTAAACATTTTACTTCACTTACCAAATCATCAGTTTTACATTCCAAGTTAGCTTTGTTCTTTACACATAGTTCTACCTCTTTTATATTCCCCTCCCTTGCAGCTGTAAGAAGTTTCTGTAAGCAAAACAAATATTTCACATTTTCCTCTGAACATAAAAATGTATTATAAATGTAATAATTGAATTTAACAAGCTACATTTTTACAGTTAACAGTTTATACCAAACACAGTGATTACCAAGACGGAGTGAAATTGTTGTCTATAATTTCAGATTTTTTTTCTTCAGAAAAGTCTTTAGACAATTATGCATCAGTTTTGAGATCAGCCTTGGTTTTTTTTTTGGGGGGGGGGGTTCGTGTTGCTCTGGCTTTAGTTTTCTATGTAACGTTTTGAATACTTGTATTTTCATTGTTTTTCATTTTTTGTCATGATGTCGTCAGTTTTTCTTTGACTTAAAATGAGTTGTGAATGTCCTATGATATCTTACGCTTCTTTTTTTTTTTTGTTTCCTGGAATTTTGTATATTGAAATTCTTTTTACTGTAGTCATTTTGATTTCTCCTATTCTCCCTCTGACTGACTCTGAGAATACTGCACACCTGTATCTTTATGTACAATTTGTAGACAACATAGGTCACATGACATAAGTCACATGACACTGACTGACTCTGAGAATACTTCACACCTGTATCTTTATGTACAATTTGTAGACAACATAGGTCACATGACACTGACTGACTCTGAGAATACTGCACACCTGTATCTTAATGTACAATTTGTAGACAACATAGGTCACATGACACTGACTGACTCTGAGAATACTGCACACCTGTATCTTTATGTACAATTTGTAGACAACATAGGTCACATGACATAGGTCACATGACACTGACTGACTCTGAGAATACTTCACACCTGTATCTTTATGTACAATTTGTAGACAACATAGGTCACATGACCATTGACTTTAAAGAAGAAAATCTTACCTGATCCCAACTTGCCATTATATCCTGCAAAAGAAAAAGAAAACATTTTAACATGTTTGTATACAGGAGTTGTAATTTGATGTGGAATATTTTTAAGGGGCATTAACTACAAGAAACAAAAAAAAACATAAAATAAGATTTTTTTTTTGATAAATCATCAGCGTAATCATTAAAATTAATGAAAATTTGATCGATTCTATTTTGTTAAAGTTTGTTAAAGGGGGTTCTACATTTGACCTCATTACAGTAAATAACACATTCAAAATAATATGCAATTTTTCAGCTGTGCATGTGGAGCAAATAATGGTTCAGTTAATATTTTCTTTTGTTACAGCAATTACCATCATCATGATTATATTGTGCTTTGTTATGTATCTAAAGAATAGAGCAAGCAATCGAGACTGGAAATTTTGTGAAATAAAGATGAAAGTAAAATGGCGATTGAAATTGACTATTGGAAGCCGACAGTTACTTTCTTTTTTATCACTTGCAGTACATTTATTATTCCAATTTGCATTTTTTGGGCAGCAAAAGTATTCATTAAAAATTTAAGTCAGCTAATTTTCTAATCCATTGAACAGTATACGCTTTTAAATAAGCATTAGTAATTAATAGCAAAATGGCTGTTACACACTCGCGCTCTTCATGCGGCAAGGCATAATAGTTTATTAGCTTTACTTATATCAATACATTGTATAGAGTATAAATTGTGCAAGGTGACGTCAATGTACACATCAATAATGTCGCCACTAAAGGTTAAATTCCACAGGATATAGCTTGAAAACAATCACGGTTGCTAAGGACTTCCTTTACATCAATCCATTTGTTGTTCAATTTTGAATCATATATATACATATACCAATGTTAGAAAAAAAATCTGTGGATTAATGAAATAGAATAACTTGATCATGTAAAAATTCTTGCCAAATTTCACGACTCGAGTTTCCCCTTATATATAATCTATTTATTTTTGGCATATTATATTATTTTCAACATCTCATGTTTCAAAAAAGAAAACGGTTAACCCCTTTTTTATTTTATTTTCTGGTGTATTTTTACAAGCAGACTGCAGAGTCATATTTTGTGATAATTAAAACAAATTCTGAGGAGTAGTTTATTGAGTACACTTTGCCTTAATGTTGTTTTGAAAGAAACTTGTTTAAGTAAAGTCTATGTCTGACTATCAATATGATTAATATGTTAAATACCCAAAGTGAAATCTGTTGGTCAAAGCTCTGCAACTGTCAATAAGGGATTACACGTGGTCCTTCGTCAAACTCTTATAGGAACCTCAGCATGTTATTGTACAGTATGTCTTCATGGCCCTAATGCCCCTTTATATAACATACCCCTTCTGCCAACAGTCAATTAGAATGATAAGAATCTGCAAATAAAGATTTATATAATTGTTAAACATATAAATTGTCATTGATCATGTTTGATATGGTCATAATTATAAATTAACTGTTTATAAAACTTTGAATTTTTGAAATACTAAGGGCAGTAGTAAGGCTTTTCAGGGGTTCAAATAAGCGGTGGTCCGAGGTCCGTGACCTTCCATTTACAGGTTCAGACCTTCCCACCGGTAGTTAGTTTCACCCGACAGACTTTCATATTTTTGCATGTTAAATAAAATGCTCCGCTGGGCGCAGCTTGATACGACCGCAGAGGTCGAACCCTGAACAGTTGGGGCAAGTATGGACACAACATTCAAGCTTGATACAGCACTAAATTTGGATTGTGATTAAAAATTTGAAACAGCATAGGTTTCTGACACAGAATGAATGTGGTCTAAGAACTTAACTTTTTTTAATTTACCTATTATGGTCCAATATCCAAAATCTAAATACATGGTTAGATTCAGCATATCAAAGAATCCAAAGAATTCAATTTTTGATGAAATCAAACAAAGTTTAATTTTGGACCCTTTTGACCTCAATGTGGACCAATTTGATAAAGGGGCCCAAAAATAAAAATACATGGTTAGATTCAGCATATCATAGAACCCCATATATTCAATTTTTGTTGAAATCAAACAAAGTTTAATTTTGGACCCTAACTTGGACCAACTTGAAAACCATAATCAAAAATCTAAACACATGTTTAGATTCAGCATATCAAAGAACCCCAAGAATTCAATTTTTGTTAAAATCAAACTAAGTTTAATCTTGGACCCTTTGGACCTTAATGTAAACCAATTTAAAAAACGGGACCCAGAATTAAAAATCTAAATACACGGTTAGATTTGGCATATCAAAAAACCCCAATAATTCAATTTTTGATGAAATAAAACAAAGTTTAATTTTGGACCCATGAACCAATTTGATAGCAGGGCCCACAAATAAAAAATCTAAATACATGGTTAGATTCAGAATATCAAAGAACCCCATTTATTCAATTTTTGTTGAAATCAAACAAAGTTTAATTTGGAATTTGGACCAACTTGAAAAATGGGCCCAAAATCAAAAATCTAAATACATGTTTAGATTCAGCATATCAAAGAACCCCATATATTCAATTTTTGTTAAAATCAAACTAAGTTTAATTTTGGACCCTTTGGACCTTAATGTAGACCAATTTGATAGCGGGGCCCACAAATAAAAAATCTAAATGCATGGTTAGATTCAGCATATCAAAGAAGCCCATATATTCAATTTTTGTTGAAATCAAACAAAGTTTAATTTTGGACCCCAGTTTGGACCAACTTGAAAACTGGGCCCAAAATCAAAAATCTAAATACATGTTTAGATTCAGCATATCAAAGAACCCCATATATTCAATTTTTGTTAAAATCAAACTAAGTTTAATTTTGGACCCTTTGGACCTTAATGTAGATCAATTTGAAAACTGGACCCAGAATTAAACATCTAAATACACGGTTAGATTTGGCATATCATAAAACCCCAATAATTCAATTTTTGATGAAATAAAACAAAGTTTAATTTTGGACCCATGAACCAATTTGATAGCAGGGCCCACAAATAAAAAATCTAAATACATGGTTAGATTCAGCATATCAAAGAACCCTATTTATTCAATTTTTGATGAAATCAAACAAAGTTTAATTTGGAATTTGGACCAACTTGAAAAATGGGCCCAAAATCAAAAATCTAAATACATGTTTAGATTCAGCATATCAAAGAACCCCATATATTCAATTTTTGTTAAAATCAAACTAAGTTTAATTTTGGACCCTTTGGACCTTAATGTAGACCAATTTGAAAACTGGACCCAAAATTTAAAATCTAAATACACGGTTAGATTTGGCATATCAAAGAACCCCAATAATTCAATTTTTGATGAAATAAAACAAAGTTTAATTTTGAACCCTTTTGACCTCAATATGAACCAATTTGATAGCCGGGCCCACAAATAAAAAATCTAAATACATGGTTAGATTCAGCATATCAAAGAACCCCTGGCATATATTCAATTTTTGTTGAAATCAAACTAAGTTTAATTTTGGACCCTTTGGACCTTAATGTAGACTAATTTGAAAACTGGACCCAAAATTAAAAATCTAAATACACTGTCAAATTTGGCATAACAAATAAATAAATGTGGTCAAAGATTTTACAAATCTAATGCGCCATACTGTACATGTGCAATTAAAGATTACTTCTTGAAATTTAATTTTCTGAAATGAGAAAAATTGACCCACCCCCCCACAATTTCTTTTTACCCCCCCCCCCCCTTTTCCCCCAAAAAATTCTTTCCTTCAAGATATGGTCATAATCTCAATTCAAATTTCCAATGGAATTTGCAACCATAATTACCCATTTAAATTTACCATAGTGCTAACTTAATCTATTTTATAATAGAATTTAAAATATGGTGTCAAATCTTTCATATGGATTTTTTTGTAAAAAAAAAAAAAAGATGCAACATTTGCAGATATTTTTACTGGTCTTCCTTTATAAATATGCATTTCTTTAAACATAATTTAAAAGCAGTGTAAGGGAAGTAATCAAAACGTTGTATGTGGATTACCTCCCTTCCACTGTTTTAAATTGTCTTAATTGTTCATTAACCATTACTATATACATAATTTAAAAGCAGTGTAAGGGAGGTAATTCAAATGATGTATTTGATTTATCTCCCTTACACTGCTTTAAATTATGTTTTGTACTAAAGTATTTGTCCATATAAAAATGCTTGTTTTTTGCCCCTTTTTGGCCCCTAATTCCTAAAATTTTGAGGCAATTACCCTCAAAATCAATCCCAGCATTCCCTTTGTGATATGGAACCTTGTGGTACAATGTTAGAGAGATCCATACAATAACACACAAGTTATGTCTGGAAGTTACAAAAATGCTTATTTTTGGCCCCTTTTTGGCCCCTAATTCCTTAACTGTTGGTACCATAACCCCCAAAATCAATCCCAACTTTCCTTTTGTGGTACATAGATGTGATATGTGACTTATAAAATGTCAAACTGTCAAATAAAACTTCCAGCACACTATACAAATTAACCATTATTAATATCCATTTCCCAATCCCATTGACTCTGTGGGTTTTCACTACTACCAGTTATATAATCTTAACCATTTTGACTCTCCTGATGTCTAGTAGTGATTAGTTGAAATGGAAACTTAACAAATATGCATCATATTTTTGTGACGTCCATTACTTTTTTTTAACCTCATTATTCTTTTTAACTTGAAACTGCCAAGATGTGCATTTTCATGAGTTCAGAACAAGAATGAAAACCATATAATTTAATTAATTTGAAATACATTCAAAACTTTCTTTAATCTAAAATTAGCATGTCAAACTTGTCAATGTAACATCCATCACAAAAGTTGTGCCTTTTTTTGAATGTCTGTTGACAAGTATTGAAACAAAGAACTATCTCTGTAATCACAAAAGTCAACTCTGAAAAGATGAAGATTCCTCTGATATATTTAAAATCTTAATATATGGGCTCAAATGTGACAGACGATATGTCACATAAATGTTACACTTTATCTGATCCTTGCCCTTATATAAACACTGAAACCAAATTTTAAGAAATCCTTGTAATGTAGTTCCTGAGAAAAATGTGACGAAAATTTTCAACTTGGATGTGTTGTGTAAAATGATGTAAGTGTTCGGTAAACAGGAAGTTGTTGAGTGATCAATCTGAAAACGCATCACACTGTATAGCAAACTTATATAAACCCTTAAACCAAATTTCAGAAATTCTTGTATTGTAGTTACTGAGAAAAATGCGACGAAAATTTTCATGGGACAGATGGACGGACTGACGGATGGACGGACGGACAGAGAGAGGTAAATCAGTATCTCTATATATAATTAAGGGGAGATTATTCAAACATAATAATTTACTTATATAAGTATATTATTAGTTAGTTCTTCAAGTTAATAAAGATTACTTGTACAAGTAGTACCCCTAACTGGTTAAATTTTATAGAGATCCATAACTTAAACTAAAGTTATTGTCCAGAAACCAAATGTCTTCGGACAACGATGATGCCAAAAATGCCAATGACAATGAGGACATGATAGCAATATACGACCGCAAAAACTTTTTGGGGTCGTATAAAAACTGCAAAATTTCCTTAAAATTACCAATTCAGGGGCAGCAACCCAACAACGGGTTGTCTGATGCGTCTGAAAATTATAGAGCAGATAGATCTTGACCCGAGGAACAATTTTAACCCTTGTCAGATTTGCTCTAAATGTTTTAGTTTCGGACATATAAGCCAATAAAATGCTCCGCAGGGCGCAGCTTGATACGACCGCAGAGGTCAAACTCTGAACAGTTGGGGCAAGTATGGACACAACATTCTAGCTTGATACAGCTTTGAATTTGGATTGTGATTAAATATTTGACACAGCATAGGTTTCTGACACAGAATGAATGTGGTCTAAGAACTTAAAAATTTTAAATTAGACATTCACCTATTATGGTCCAATATCCAAAATCTAAATACATGGTTAGATTCAGCATATCAAAGAACCCCAAGAATTCAATTTCTGATGAAATCAAACAAAGTTTAATTTTGGACCCTTTTGACCTCAATGTGGACAAAGTTGATAACGGGGCCCAAAAATCAAAATCTAAATACATGGTTAGATTCAGCATATCAAAGAACCCCATATATTCAATTTTAGTTGAAATCAAACAAAGTTTAATTTTGGACCCCGATTTGGACCAACTTGAAAACTGGGCCAATAATCAAAAATCTAAATACATGTTTAGATTCAGCATATCAAAGAACCCTAAAAATTCAATTTTTGTTAAAATCAAACTAAGTTTAATTTTGGACCCTTTGGACCTTAATGTAGACCAATTTGAAAACGGAACCAAAAATTAAGAATCTAAATACACGGTTAGATTCGGCATATCAAAGAACCCCAATTATTCAATTTTTGATGAAA